CCGTGGTCCCACCGTCCAGCAAGGGCACGGCGACCGTCACGCGCTACTAGACCACAGAGCACGCCTGCAATGAGCGATTCGCTGACTGTTGCGATGCATGGTAAAGCACTGCGCGAAAAGTGCGATACCAAGTCGCTGTCATCCTGACAGGCAGGCCGACTGAAAGCAGCACCCACTGCACCGAGACTACATCCTGCCTTCCGTTCAAAACGAGACGTCAATCGCCCACAATTACTCATAAATTGAATATAATCAAAGATGTCAGTCATCGTATATTGCAACAAGCTTTTCAGATCGTATCCCTTCCTTCCGTTTTAACCCGCGAGTTGCTGGGGGGGGGGGGGGCGTTAAACGCCCCCACTTTTTTCGCCGGGCCATAGCATAAAAACGGCGCGCCGCAGGCGCGCCAAACTTTGGGTACCTGTAGGGAATTGATTGAAGTTTATTGTGACAAAGTTTCAAAAAAATCGGTCGGAAAATTTTTGAGATATCGAGGTTTTAGTGACGTCATAATTTCTGAGTTTTCGACCAAAAACGGCATATGTTCAAAAAATCATATATAATCACAGAATAGACATACAGACATGCCGTAAACGCCATTAGACTTCCAATACCATGATCAGTGAAATGGCTATCTTCGATTATTGATTATCGTTCCGCATTTTCCATAATCTTGAACTGAACCTTGGCAATTTTTCGTGACTTCTTCACGACCATGATACATGCATTTCTTAAATTGAACTTTTTGAGCCAAACACGTACACATATGATAAAATGAATGTCACCATCGTGTTCTACGCCTCAAATTACCTAAAAAACATGTGTCACAGGCTGCGAATATCAGTTTTGATTTTCGGGGATATGTGCCTACTAGAGATGCACCAAATTTGCAATTTCATTACCCGCCCCGCCCCGCAGCTACCCCTTGCCCAACCACAACTACCCGCAAGCTGATTTTGGCTGAGCCGAACCCGCTAAAAACCCGCAATTTTAAAAAAAACCTGCCTTTGCAAGGAAAAAATACAGCTGGGTCAATGCTAGAGCTATATAAACCTTACTTGCTTCATTGTTGTGCAGAAAAATACAGCCAAACAAATAGTAAGGACTTGAAATTGCTATGCTAAGTCCTCAGGAAGTGCACACTGGATAATGGAAAACGAATAATGCATCAATACATTTGAAATTCCTTTCTGAAAAGAGTTCCGTAAAATCTTTCTCTCACCTTACCCTTCAGCATTGGCTGAGGATCAAAATTTCACTCTGGTTCCTCTCAATGTTAGGCTTCTGAAATGATACTGTTATCAAAATGAATGTTGATATAAAAAGATATGCGATTTCCAGTTAAAAATAAATAGTGTCACGGTGAATAATGCGTATCCAGTCGATCTACACATAAAACAAATCATGCAAAAGCCCATCAAAAACCAACTAACCAATGAACCACGCATTTTTGGAAACATGCGTCAGAAGCGTCACCAACAGCTGATTGCAAGGAATGTTACAGCGACTAAATTATTGCAGCCGTAGTTAGTGCGAACTTGTTGCGAAAACACCGTTGTATAATGCATATTAATGTGCCATTCTGATAATATTATTTTACACAACAGCTAAAGTTTTACAATTCAGAGGTTAATCACCGGTTAGGAAATAAAGAGACAGTAAATACTAAATAAAATGTAATAATTTTATAGTTGGTCTTGGTAATGCTCTCCGGCTGGTCTTCTCTCGGCAATCGGCATACAAATGATAAGGACGTAAAAAGACAAAAGAAATAAATGCGACCAGCTACGTGGTTTTGTAACATGTATAACTGCTATTTTGAGGTATTCAAAAACCAAGACAGAAAAATTGATTGTAAAATAATTATTGCGTCATCAATGACAGCTTTCCTTCGCCTCAGAGACCAAAATTGACGCAGTCAAATGCCAATCCTTGTCAGAATGTCGAAAGTGCGCCAGTATTGTATTGCGTTATGTTTGGGCCGCATGCCAGTCAATATTTTGATTTTTTGTAAGAGTAATTGCAGGTACCTAATTGGTGTGTTATTTTCGTAATATAGGGTGGGACAGAACATAGAGTAGGATAGGTAATCAATGAATTTGCATCAAATTTTGTTTAGCTCTTTTTTATGCCGACCAGACGCAAATAAAGTAACATGTGGCATTTGCTCTGATTTTCAACATCAACATCTCATTTTAGTCTGGGTTCTTCCATAATGTATATCTAGTGCACACTGCACATAGACTTCAGTTCAGCTTCCTATAAGTTTGCTTTCAGGTTCTTTTATGTTTTATGGAATGCTTTCATCAGCATTTATTTATGCTTTGTAGTTTGTCGTTTGTACCCTGGTTTGGTCATTGCTAGCACTGTGGATGCTATTGCTGGTTGTTTTCAGTTTTGCATTTGAAATGTGCTTCCTTGATATATTTTTATATTTGGTTCTGTTTTAAAAGTTGTTTTGATGAATATTGTATTGTTAACCTGAGCAAATGCACTTGGCATTGTGTTTTGCATCTAAAAAAATAAAAAATAAATTTATAGGTTCTAAAGTCTGACCGCCAAATACCCGCCACACGACAAGTTTTGCTTCTCGAACCCGCCAAAAACCCTGCGGGTTTTGAAAACCCGCAGAAAGCGGGTTTGCGGGTTCAAAAAGGGCATCTCTAGTGCCTACCCGGTTGACCTGACCTTGACCCTGACCTATGCTTGACTGACCCCTACATGGAGCTGACACTCTTGTAGGCCTTATATGATGGATTGTGCACCGTTTTGACAGAGTTTATGACGAGAGGTGCCCATTGGGAAGTCCTGAAGTCCATGCTACTGAAAGCCCGATTTCAGGTGTTTGACCTGACCTTGACCCGACCTGTGACCTCAAAATTCAACTTTTAAGTACTAATCTGAAGCGTCTCGTCGCGCTCTTTCATTTGCCGCCTCGTGCGTTTCGCTGCGCCTATTGGTTCTCGAGTTATCGGCTGGGGGCGTTTAACGCCCCCCCCCCCCCAGCAAACGGTGGGTGGCGAAATACCCCAGCAACTGCCGGGTTAAAAGGAAACGGCACCGTGTCGTCATCTGCGCACACCTTATGAAGCTGTCCAGCTTGCTGACTCATCCGGTGGACTCAAGGAGGAAAGCCTCAGCACACGACCTCACACCAATAACAACACCGCCAACGCGCGAGGGGTTGGGGTTCGGCCGGGGCCTCCATCAGACGCCGGAGGGGTGCGAACTGCGAGCAAACGTGGCCAGTCATCCAGTTGATTCAGGCGTGCCACGTTGATCAGCCCCTCGCGAGCGCACACATTAGGGCGCAGCGGGAACGCAGAGCGGGTGAGATGTGAGCTGAGTATCTGCGCACAGTGCGCAGCAGACAGCTCGAGGATGACGTTAGGAGTACATCATGACCTATGCGTTCTCACAGGCATATTGGAGAGGGGTCGGGATTATGCGTGGTTATACGGGCGACTGTGGCGTTCTTCTCTCATCGCACGCAGAGACGCAGGTGGGTCCCACGTGGACCGGGGTGGCAAAGCGCCAAAGAGGGGTGGACGTCCATCTGGGTGGTCCACCGAAAGGTGTGGGCGAGTCTCACCCAGGCGCTTAGAGCGTGAACGTGCGATGAAAACATGCTAAGCACACCAATTGTTTCAAGTGGCGGTAAGTACAGGCGGGGACATTCCAATGACTAAGGAACTTCCCGTATTGGCGATGGTTCTGACGTGCAAGTGACCGTCACATATATGTGACGGTATCGGTCGTATGAAGAATCAGCCGGACGATTACGTCACAAAGTACACTATTGCAGAATTACGGCCAATACCTATCAATAAAACACCAGCGGCAATGGCAGGTACTTTTGACACAACAGTACAGAGCAAAAGTCGTACCAATCGGACCGCTAGATTCCCTGTCAGCCAGACACCAGGGCACACAGTCGCAGCTAACGTGACATCTGCACTGACAGATCGTCCCTCGTTGAAGATCCGGCCACGTCCCTGGGCAGTCGTCACCGCCCGGGGCCAAGATGGCGCCGCCGTGCTAAGTGCTGTACCGTCCGTCGTCGACGAGCCAGTGCCAGCCGCCGGCTCCGGAGACGTTTATCAAAGTCCCATTCGGCCGAGTGGCTCTCGGGGGATCCTCAGACCTCTCGGCGATATTAGCGCCGAGAAATGGGCTCTGATAACGCCCGGCGCCGGCCCCGATCGAGATCGCTCGGGGTTCTGTCTAAGTAGGTAGTTGAGTGGAGGATGGAATCGACAGCTGCGACCGCCGCCAGTTGAGTGGTAATGAGGAGGGTGAGAAACAGACTCACCCGGCGCCTCATCAACTCGCCAAGCTACACCGAACCCAGCGGATCATATCCCACCATCTCTCCCTGCCGAGATAGCCACCTGGGGCATACGGCAGCACCCCATGTGACCCGCCCTCCGCCACCTTTTTCAACTCACCGCCGCTCCGCACCGCGCCGGTCGGCGCAGTCCCGCTAATGGCAGCACCGGCTAAATGTGCCGTAAAATAGCTATGTAAATCGACACCTCCATGGCAGTTGGCAGGCGGTAACTCACGTAAAATGAGCATAGCCTGATGCGATTCGGCCCGGTGTAAATTCTCGAGGTGAGTTATGTACGGCAAGGTTACCGGTCGCTGAGTACGGGCTAAAGCACGGGTCACAATGGTCCCCAATCGATGACACCGTCTGAACTGGCGACGTTCCCACGGCTGACCACAGGAGGTACAATAGGTACAGTAACGTGACCTTACAGCGGGGATTCGCCCCATAAGCCTGTGGGCAGTACAAAGAGTACAATAAAGTGAGCTTACAGCGGGGATTCGCCCAGCGGCTGTTGGCGGGCGGTCCACTGTAGACCCGCGTACCGTGAGAAAATACGGAGGGGAGTCCTGTCAGATCCTAAGTAGGCTGATCTGACCAAGGAGTTCTTTTCCTCCCTGTCTAAGGAGTTACCGAGACGGCTCGGCCATGGGATGGGACTCTGACTGACCTTTTGTTGACTTTCCGCTTGGTGAGCGTGCCGCGCAGCTCGTTCCTCTCCTGCACCATCCGGTCCCGCTCACGGAGAGCCACGTCCAGCGACTTGAGGCTCTCCGAATCGCCACCAGACGAGACGGTGGCCGGGGTGTTGGAACTCATCGCTGTCGGACGGAGGGGCGAGGTCAGTGAAGACGGGTTCACAGGAAAGGGTCACTGATAAGTCACTGTCACTGACTGACAGGTCATTGGATGGGAGGCACTGGCGGGTCACTGATTTAGTCATTAAGAGCAACGTTTACGAGTCACTATGAATGTCACTGACAAGTCACGTATAAATGTCACTGACGAGTCACTGTCACCGGAAAGATACAGCGTCACTGACCAGTGCCTGACCACTGGGTGCATTCACTACCACCTGGCTGGTAGGGAGAGGCGTTACAGGGAGCAGCCACCTGCACCTGACACCACACAGGCGGACAGCGGCCGACAGTGACCGTACCAGCGCTGCGAAGTTCATGTCACTGTCACCAGGTCGGCCAACAGCACTGCTTTGGGGCTATCCTCGTCGAGAAACTCAATGCTTCATACAATCAGCCCACTTTCCGCGGCGCGCAGTAACAGACACAAAGGGTTTGCAATAAATAAACAATAACAACCGTAATAAAATGTAGGTAAGACTATTTACCTAATTGTCTTGGTTCACAGGTGTGAACAACAAAGAGGAACCTTGGAGCTATACATATTAAATATGTAAACTTACACAAATGACAAAAGTGCATAATGATAGTAATGGCATAATAACGGTCAACCATAAATAATAACGGCAGTGAGAACTTTTGACATCTTTGCTAATGTATGGTGCAATTCAGACAAATGAAGGCCTACCAATTACCATCAAATGGCTGGAGGGAAAGTGAGGATTGAAAATGCCCGGGTATACCCAGCTACCATGTATGTCTACTGTCCCCAGGTATCGTGACAATCATGACTTATATATTTCAATATATTAGCAATTATGAATATGCTATGGCACACAGACATCTGGTCAGTCCTCATAACAGGCAATGTGGCCTGATTTGCGGTATATCTAAGCCGCAATAACATTCATTCATAGGTACGGTTTAGATATAACGTAGAGTTTAGTTTTTAAGAGTAACCAAGGTTTGTTGTCAATAGTTAAAACACGATTCGTTAAAATTGTGTTTTTCTATTAAAAAACAAATCTGAGTTCCCTGAAAATTTGGCAAAAGCTGCCTGAGATCAGTAGGCCCAAGGATATATGTGCGCCTTATGAGCGTTTATGTTTTAGTTTATCCCAAACTAAGCGAGGGGAGAGAAACTAAACGGGGGAGAGAGGTGCTATGCGATCTTTTGTCTGTGAAACGCATGTGTTAATCATGTAAGGTCCGAAGGCACCCTCGGACTGCGTCCCCAGAACTCCGTAAAACGTATTCTGTGTAGCTGAGGGTCCCAATATTTCCACAGTCTGCCCTCCTGCCTATCTTTTTTCTCCACTACGGCCAACGGTGGAGTGCGTAAGTGTAACGCACTTTCGTAATTGCGTAATTACGTACACACGCCTGTACTTTGTGCCCAATGTCAGCTACATGAACTTCCTCTCCCCGCTTGAACTATGGATCGGACTCCGCCGCCGGGGACACTGCGGCCTGCGCTCGGAAAGTACTCGGAACATTCACTTGTGAGAAGGGCAGGGCAGAAGACGGACAAATCTGACCTGGATTTTCGTAGACACTCAGCAGTCAGCGAGGAAGCGCAGCAATCTTACGGCCAACACAATTGATAGAAAAGAAACACGAAAAGCTTGATGTGAGCAGTGGACTTCAACGACGACTAGGGACGTTCGATTACGGACCATTCGTTGTGTATAGGGTCGAAGCTTCGGGGGGGGGGGGGGGGGCAAATATACAATTGACTCTCACAGGCTCTCATAAGTGAGTGTACCGGGCTGACTGGATTCAGAACTCTGTGGAAGGTTGACTGGGTGGGTGGATAGATGTGAGTGGTTGACTACGGACGGTTGATTTCGGTAGGGTTGACTGTGGGTTGCAGAGCAGGTTGGCTGTGGGCAGATGACTGTAGCAGGCGGCGCCTCGACCGATCCGCGGCCCCGTGGCCCGTGCCAACCCTTCTCGCGGTGACGCAATGCGGCCTGTTTGTTTGCGATACAGCGCTGGCCGGTCGGTCGGCGGCCGGTCCGGTCCATCACCCCCGCCGACCGGGGGTCTGCAGCCAATGACGGCCGATGACGGCCGATGACGGGCGCCGGTCAGCCGTCATCAAACCCGTCACCTCGTCAGATCAGCACCTCGGCTGACGGGCCCGGCCCGGCCGTAACCCGGTGCCGAGGAGTGAGGGACGGGAGGGAAGGGAAGGGGTAGTAACCGGCCCCCGTGGACGGGTGTTGAGAAATCAGGCGCGGGGCGCGACTGGCAGAGTCGTTAGGTACACGGAGTAACGGGCAGAGATGAGAATTCAAGCTCGTTAGGACGTGTGATGAGCTTGGTAAGTCATTTCGCCAATGACGACAGTTTTGGAATATTCATACACAGTTATAATATCCATGGGCCAAATGAAGATAATGATGATTTGAATTTGATAAGACAGTCGACAGAGCACACCAGCCAGAAGCCGTATCGCAAGTCGGAGGCGAGGTAGCTAGTGTCAGCCCGGGTCAGCTGAGGTCAAACAGGGAGTAGGTATATGGGAAGGTCGGTCAGCCAGGGAGGACCGGTCGGCGACCGGGGGTGTCCGGTGTCTGATCTAGGGGAGACCAGGGACCCGGAGACCCGAGGGTGCGGGCTACCCGTCCGAGGCGCCATACGCCGGTCAAACATCATAATGGCATCCCCTGAATTAACAGCGGAGTGGCCAAAAACAGCGTAAAATCCACGAACATGTGGAAATCCATACAAGGGGACGGGCAGCCAAGTAGCGGCCACCCGCTTTCAACAAACACTTTCACTTTCATCTGAGTGGGTGGCCGCCGGTCGGGGCAGATGCGACTGCGGACCGGGGAAAGAGGGGGGGGGGGGGGGCTTAGCGGGTGGATGAGATGCTAGCAGCGCAGTGGCCTGGCCCCGTCCGACCGGCCGGCGGGTGCCGTCTCCGTTAGCCAGTCTGCTGGGGGGGGGGGGGGGCTGAACCGGTCCACCCCACCGGTAATCGAGGGGAGGGGGCATCTGATCCAGTCGGGCCTGTATGTACAGCTCGATAGCTGTTAACTAGTGTACTGAAAAACTGCAACGATAAATTTCTACATCTCATCTGATCTCTGATGGGCAAAACGACGAAGAAACACATAGTTCTACCGCAGAGCATACTAAAACGCATATTTCAACGAACAGGTTATTCGAAAATGTCCCTAGCCATTAAACACCATTGAACCCCGGTGAACCAAGCGGTGAACTAGCGATTCTCGTCCCATGAGGGCACTCACCAGCTACATCCATGAGAAAGCACGTCAGAAGGTGAGGGTGGCTCTTCTCCAGCACGTGGCAGAACTCCTGAAACGCCGCAAAGCCTTTCTTGCTAAGCTGGCTCACTAGTAGCTCCGCCTTAGCCCTCCCCAAATCCTCGTTTACAAGAGCCTTTTCCTCCTCCACACCAAGAATGCCCTTATTCACAAGCTCAGGTACCACCTCGTCCACATTGAGGTCCTCACATATCACGTCACGGTGCTTCTCCAACAGCATGCACACACCACGCAAGCCCGCCATCTTCGCGACTGGTTCAAAACAAAGCCGGCACACAGCGTACCACTCCGACACTCACCACCCGGCGGCGGCCCCTGCGACTCGCCCGGCACCCGACGCGGAGCCGCGACCCAGCGAGGAGGTCCGAGGGGCATGCCGCGCCATCTCTTGGCCGTTTATAAAACCCTAACTTATGCAGTATGGGCTTTTTGTGGTCTACATTTTTGGTGCTTTTAATATACGTCTTACATTTATTGTAGGTTCATGACAGGTTTAAATTTCTAGCAATGGTTAAACATCGGAAATTATAAATCAATTAATAGATAAAGGACCAAACAAAAAATGAATATAAAGGCTCGAAAACTAGACATAAACTGCGCGACTACGACAAAAGGGGAGATTCTAAGCAATTGTTCTATATCAAGCTACTAGCAATAGTAAGCATGCAAAGAAAACTTATGACGTCAAAATGATGTCATGATTGACAAAACTGCATAGTTCTTTTGAAGTTGTGAAGTCATGCATTTTGCTGGTTCTGCTCATTTACCGTTCACCTACGTGTTCATGTAGATTTTGAACGTAGTAATACCAGGCCCATGTCACTCCACTTTTGATGACATCATAAGGGGGCCTCAGGACAATTAATGACGCGGTGCGCCACAATCGCTCCCAAGCTACTGGCCAACAGCTGCCATTTTTGAAAATATTATTTTGAAATAAAGTTTCAAGTAATGAAAATATTGTAATAAAGTTGTAACTCAAATCTATACCATATCTAAAAACTTACTGAAAAATGAATTATCCATAGTAAAAATATAAGCTCGATGCGTTTTTACGTTGCCTTCCTGCTGCTGCAGAGGGTTTTTAAATCGTTTATATCTTCAAAACCGGCCATTTCTTAGCATATTGCTGCTCTTTTTTGTCGCTGGAAAATTAGTTGGGCTTTCCATTGACATCAATGGCTGAGCGGTAGGTGTAGAGCGCCATCAATAATCTTCAAATGAAATTAGTCATTTTTACGTTGAAAGGAATGGAGTACCCCTTGCGAGCATCAGGGGTGACGTCACTCAGGATCTGTCTCTGATTGGTCGGCGGGGGAGTGACTGTACCTTCTATACGCAACCGAAGTCGTGATGTCACGATAAGTGGCTGGGGCATAATCAGCTGACGGCCCCGTGCTAAAGCAATGGGGCAATATTTTGCCGATCTTTCCCAAGAAAACTGGACCTAGTTAGATAGTTTTAGTAGCTGAATTTAGGACAACGATGTATGATCTATTTTTCTATGAAAAAATATTGCAAACTCTAACAACGCAAAGCACAAATTTTCGTGAAAACCTAATTGGCGGCGAAGTTGACGCAGAAATACAAAACATTTTTTATCAAGAGGTTTAAAATAATGGATTTAAAATAGAAAAAATTGTCAAAATAACTTATATGGTGAATTTTCTCCTTTGTTTTTTACAAATAAAAAATATTTATCTAGCTCAAACTCAAATATGTCAAACCTTACGCATCAAAATCCTCCCGACGCGATCACAGTTAGCATCTCAAGGTCATGTATTTGGTGCGTCAAGTTCGCCGCCCGTAACAATTTCGCGAAATTCGGTCCTTTCCACTTTGAAACATAGCATTTTTTGGGCATAGAAAAATAGAATATACTCAGTTTACCTAGAAACTGGCCCCCAAACTATCTAACTAGGTCCAGTTTGTTCTTAAAATGCTGATTAAATTTCGTCCCATTGCTTTAACACAGGGCCGTCAGCTGAGGGCTGTTCGGGTCCCTGCAGCATAGATCTGTGCTGCGTGCGTCATACTTGGGTGCCGTCAACCGCCTGGCTCCGCCCACTCTCCGCCGGCACGCCGCGGCCGAGCGTCGCTGCAGCCTATTTCAAACGCGGCGAACCGTTGCGCGGGTGGACTGGTGATTGTCGCTCAAATAGGACGGTTAAATTGCGTTCAAATATGGTTATTAGCAATGTGCCACCGAAAAGAGTGATAATGATACCCCAAAAACAGCATACAAACCGCTTACAATAAGAAATATTGGACGGTAAACTTTAATCCGCGCCACTTTCGCCTCCTGCAGCACCGAATTTCGTGCTGCAGAGTGCTGTTCACGGACACCTGCGGTAACTGCGGTAGCTGCGGTAGATCGCAGGCTGTAAGTCCCGCCCACTTGTGCGCACGTCATCACGCGTTCGTCTGAGGCGGCCGTGTCAATTTTCCGCCCAAGTTACACGAATGCGCAACTGCCGCGCCACTTTGCATGACAAATGGTTCCTGCGGCCGCTGCGGTCGGATCGTTTCGACCGCAGGAGACGCAGGCGACCGCAGCCGGCCGCAGCCGTATGACGTCACACCACCCGCCCCATCCCCACTTTCTGTGACGTCATTACCCGGCTGACCGCCGAGCCCAAGGCTATATAAACCAGGTAGAACGCTCCCGACGAAAAAGTGGTGACAAGCGATAATTAGTAGCCGCGACCCTCTTTTGTTCAAAACTATATCCGCAAGCAGCATTTACAGGCTAGCGGAAATCGACCAATCGGTGTTCGGCAATACTCAACGCTGATTGGCCCGATGCTCGTGACGAAATTGCGGGGGACTGCAGCTATTCCCCTATGGCGTTTAATAGACTTACGGCTTTTGAAGGGGATTTGTACCAGTTTTTGTTGGGTTTGAGGCCATTTTTGAGCTTGGATATTCTTTCTGTGACTTTTGACTGTGTAATAACGACATTTAATCATAACATTTCTATATACTACCGGTGTCACATCGACCAAAAAGACCGTAAGTACATGGGATAGACGGACCACTGCTGATGGGGCCACACATGCCGGCGTGTGGTCATCGGAGGCCCATGAGGGCTCGACATAGGCCCTTCATGGGTCGGTATAGGCCCGGTGGGTCCAGTGCAAGCCTATCAGGGGCCGGTGCTGACCCAACAGGGCCCAGTGACATATAATGTAAGGCCGTCTAGGGACGTTGAGGGCTCATGGGGGCCATATAGGACCAATAGGACCACATAAGCCAATCAGGGGCCATTTAGGCCAATAAAGGCACTTCAAGGGACTTGAAAAGGTCATTCAAGAGCTGTGGTGGGCCCATGAGAGGACGGCACCGGTCCAGCAGGTGCAGTCAGGGGATGTTGTACGGGTTTCTCAGTGGCCCATTTGGGCATATCAGTGACCAATTTAGACCCAGCAGTGGGCTTTGTAGACCTATCAGGGGCTGGTGATGGTTCATCAGGGGCCAGCGTTAGTCCATCGGGGCACGGCATATGCCCATCAGAGGTAATTGCGAGCCCACGCTGAACAATGCTGGCCCTTCAACGGCCCCATGGATCTACATTGACCCATGGGCCATGATGTGTCATGTATGCCCCTATGACAGGCCTACTCAGACCCCTGATGGACGTTCCCGGCCTCTGATGACCCTATGCTGAATGCTGATGGGGCTCTAAGAGTCTCCAATAACCCTTCGTCACCCCATTATTACCATACGCTGGCATTAGGGACCCCACATCAGCCGCAGGGCAGTCCGTACCATGACAGCATGTCTTTTCGGCCGATATTTCATCGGTAATATTTATCAAAATCATGATTTTATGGTGCCATTATATAGGTAACAGTCATAAGAAATATATTTCAACTCGAAAACAGCTCGAAACAGCATATAATTTTAAAGAAACCCCTCCGAAATCCAAAAGCCTATTCGGGTCCATAGAGAATAACTGCGGTCCCCCGCAATTTCGTCACGAGCGTCGGACCAATCAGCGTCGAGTACCGCCGAGCGCTGATTGGTGAATTTTCCGCTAGCGTGTAAGTACTGCTCACGGAACAAGAGCTCGTCGACAATCCTCCACAAACGTCTGTCACCATTTTTCATAATGCTTAACAGCCGGAGCGTAATGTAACGGAAGTTAGCCCACATTCAGCCCACATTCGGCCCAGCCCAGATTGGGGCTGCCAAATCTAGGGAAAAATCTAGAAATCTAGGGAAAAATCTAAAAGCCGTTTTACGCCTAAACGGCTGGACAAAACTGAAAAATAAGACCACCATTTGAAAGATCTCTTCACCCCGGACCCAATGATATGGTTAAATACCGGATCAATTTAACCAAAAGCATGATTTAACCAGGATGAAAATTTTCGGTCAATGGGGCGGCCCCTACGATTTTCTTCAAAATCGGCATGGTGATACTACAGGCCGAGATGATCAATCTGGCTGAAGAAACCCCTATGGGCATTGAAATCTATGGGGTAAAAACGCCCTTGGAAAGATTTACCCACGCATTTCTGGCAAGACTATCGCACGCATCCCCCCAATATGGGTATCATATGAAAGCCCATGAAAACCCAAACAAAATGGTGGGGTAAAATTTACCCATTACCCCATCCAGGGTAAAGTTTACCCAAGATGAAAATTTTCGGTCAATGGGGCGGCCCCTACGATTTTCTTCAAAATCGGCATGGTGATACTACAGGCCCAGATGACCAATCTGGCTGAAGAAACCCCTATGGGCATTGAAATCTATGGGGTAAAAACGCCCTTGGAAAGTTTTACCCACGCATTTCTGGCAAGACTATCGCACGCATCCCCCCAATATGGGTATCATATGAAAGCCCATGAAAACCCAAACAAAATGGTGGGGTAAAATTTACCCATTACCCCATCCAGGGTAAAGTTTACCCAAGATGAAAATTTTCGGTCAATGGGGCGGCCCCTACGATTTTCTTCAAAATCGGCATGGTGATACTACAGGCCCAGATGACCAATCTGGCTGAAGAAACCCCTATGGGCATTGAAATCTATGGGGTAAAAACGCCCTTGGAAAGTTTTACCCACGCATTTCTGGCAAGACTATCGCACGCATCCCCCCAATATGGGTATCATATGAAAGCCCATGAAAACCCAAACAAAATGGTGGGGTGAAATTTACCCATTACCCCATCCAGGGTAAAGTTTACCCAAGATGAAAATTTTCGGTCAATGGGGCGGCCCCTACGATTTTCTTCAAAATCGGCATGGTGATACTACAGGCCCAGATGATCAATCTGGCTGAAAAAACCCCTATGGGCATTGAAATCTATGGGGTA